CTGAAACCCAAATATTTCATGGAATAAGGCTCTAGGATTGCAAGTTGGGAGGATTCTCGCGGCGACCGCAGGATCCAACACCGTGACGAGGACAATAGACCTTCCAACACCTTATACCATTGTCTTGTTATGGCTCCGAAAAACAGTAAAATGTCGAAATTCTTTCTATTTTAAAATCAGAATGAGATCACTTTTCCTATTATGAAATTATATTTACCAAAAAGTAGAGTATGGACCATTGTCTTATTTAAAAACACGTATAACCTTATTTTTTTTCATATTCTGTTTTTTGGCGGGAACGTGGACGCGCACGTATCGAGCGAGGGACCGCTGATATAAGATCCTCCACGCGGTCGAGACCCTCTCCAATTTGCAGGAGGGCGGGAGACTTGACGATAGTGTACTAGAGCGATGGTTATTCTATTGTCGAAGCGGTTTACTAATTGGATGTTGTTTATACAGACGATCTCTTGAATAATTGTCTGGGTTAAATACACTGAGAGAATTATAGACTTTAGCTTGTATTCAGACCTCTCTAACCTAATTTCCATTGAATAAGCGATAGGTAGATGTTAAAATTATCATTACAGTATTAAAATGATAACAGACTGAAACCCCTCTCTTCAATTAAGGTCTTTCCAGAAGAGATAAAGAAAAAATCATTTTTCTCCATGACAGGTTGGCATCTGCTTCCGCCTGTACAAGGGTGAGGTTATTCTCCTACTGTCATTATCGACCTCTTTCGCTTCTCCCTCTCATTTCCTTCTATTTATGCGTCGACTCTTTCCTTCCCTTCTTTTACCTTCCTCTTTCCATTCCTCCCCTGGTCCCTTCCCTTTGTCTCTCGTCCGATATGCTTCTTTCACCTCGAGCCTGCATACCAAAGGATAGAGATTGTCGGTCAGTTTCAGTGTCTCTAAACGACGAGTGTAAGCAGTGGTAAATGTGGTAATACACCGACAAACAAAACAACATGTACTATGCACGCAAATGAAATGGAATATATAATATTCATATATCTATTTATTTATAGGCACATACGCACACACACACACACATAAACAGATGTATAGGAGACATGCACCTAGAACTCTATAACCAATACGAACTTGGAGTTCAAACACCTCCATCCCCGTTGAAAATAACTACAACTTACCGTTTCATCTTTTCCTGACGATAGTGGAGCGTCATCCGGGTCTTTAATGATCAAGTAGAGCACATTGTCCGTTTCAAGAAGCACGCTCAACATCACAAACAAACGCGCACAGAAAACGTGACTTAATGAACGCGAGTCCAAAGAAAATGGGTTTATTGGTGTATAAAAAACAGTTGTCTACATTACTCTGTGTAAGTAATACACACATAAATAAATATATTTATTACTAGGATCGTTTTTTTTATATGAGTCTTACAATCGCACTGTAAATATGTATTTCATTCAAGCGAGGTGATCTTATTACGTCACTAAACAGCTGTTAGATCACGTGACTAAAGTTTCCCCCTCCCAGACCCTTCGCAGCTGGTTCACTCTGACCTTTGCAACAGGCCTGGAATGAATGAAATGACCTTTCCATAATTTCGTTTCCAACACTTGCAAACTTGACATATGTATATATATATATATATATATATATATATATATATATATAATATATATAATATATATATAGAAGAGAGAGAGAGAGAGAGAGAGAGAGAGAGAGAGAGAGAGAGAGAGAGAGAGAGAGAGAGAGAGAGAGAGAGAGCATATGAAAAGAGAGGAGACTGAGGACCAAAGAGGACAAAAACGAGAAGAATAGTTGAGGAGAGAGAGGAGATAAAAAAGTCGAGACACAGGAGATAGAAAATGACGCATATTCCAGGAATTAAATACACACAAAAAAAACGTCCACCTTAAAGCAAATATCGAATATCCTTTCTAATGACCTCGGACCTTTTCCTCTCCCTCCCCCTCCTCCCCCCCACCACTCTGCCCCTCCCATCAATCCTCCCCTTCACCTTCTCATCCTCTTCTCTCCTCCTTCTCCTTGCTATTCTCCTTTCTATTTCCCCTCTCCTCATCCTCCTATCCCCTCTTCATCCTACTCATCCCATCCACCCAGTTCCCCTGACCCTCCTCCCCTGTCCTATCCACTCCCATCCTCCTATTCCCCCCACACCGTTCCCCCCATCTCATTCACTCTTTCCTTCCCCTTCCTCCATTCTATCCCCTCCTATTCCCTCCTTCCTCACCTTCCTCCATCCTCCTCTCCCATCCCCCATTCCTCCCCCCCTTCCTCCCCATCCTCCCATTCCCCCATTCCTCCCCCCTCCATTCTATCCCCTCCTATTCCCCATTCCTCCCCTCCTCCATCCTGCTCACCCCCCCTTCCTCCCATCCTCCATCCTCCATCTCCCCATTCCTCCCCCTCCTCCATCCCCTTCCCCTCCTCCCATCTCCCCATTCCTCCCCCTCCCACCATCCTCCCATTTCTCCCCTCCTCCATCCTGCTCACCCCCTTCCTCCCCATCCTCCATCCTCCCATCTCCCATTCCTCCCCTCCTCCATCCCTTCCTCCGCCTCCCATCTCCCCCCTCTCCATCCTGCTCATCCCCCCCTTCCTCCCAATCCTCCATCCTCCCATCTCCCCATTCCTCCCCTCCATCCCTCCCTCCTCCATCCCCTTCCCCTCCTCCCATCTCCCCATTCCTCTCCCTCCTACCATCCTCCCATTTCTCCCCCTCCTCCATCCTGCTCATCCCCCCCTTCCTCCCAATCCTCCATCCTCCCATCTCCCCATTCCTCCCCCTCCTCCATCCCCTTCCCCTCCTCCCATCTCCCCATTCCTCTCCCTCCTACATCCTCCCATTTCTCCCCCTCCTCCATCTGCTCACCCCCTTCCTACCCCCTCCATCCCTCCTCCCCATTTCCCCCCCTTCCTCCCCATCCTCCCATTCCCATTCCTCCCCCCCTCCATTCTATCCCCTCCTATTCCCCCATTCCTCCCCTCCTCCATCCTGCTCACCCCTTCCTCCCCATCCTCCATCCTCCCATCTCCCCATCCTCCCCTCCTCCATCCCCTCCCCTCCCCCATCTCCCATTCCTCTCCCTCCTACCATCCTCTCCATTTCTCCCCCCTCCTCCATCCTGCTCATCCCCCCTTCCTCCCAATCCTCCATCCTCCATCTCCCCATTCCTCCCCCTCCTCCATCCCCCTTCCCTCCTCCCATCTCCCCATTCCTCTCCCTCCTACCATCCTCCCATTTCTCCCCCCTCCTCCATCCTGCTCATTCCCCTTCCTCCCCCCTCCTCCATCCTCCCATCCCCCCATTCCTCCCCCTCCCATATCCCCCCAAAAGGAATCAGCGCACTCCAAAGCAGGTTAGGCAACGGCAAGAGGCTGTACAAGTTCCGGAAACTGGTATGTTGTGGGGGCGATAACAGCTTTTATGGAGAGAGAAAGAGCAGAGAGAGAAAAAAAGAAGAGAAAAGAAAGAGAGGAAAAAGAAGAGAGAGAGGGGGATAGATAGAGAGAGAGGGAGATAGATAGATAGATAGATAGAGAGAGAGAGAGAGAGAGAGAGAGAGAGAGAGAGAGAGAGAGAGAGAGAGAGAGAGAGAGAGAGAGAGAGAGAGAGAGAGAGAGAGAAGAGAGAGAGAGAGAGAGAGAGAGAGAGAGAGAGAGAGAGAGAGAGAGAGAGAGAGAGAGAGAGAGAGAGGGGGGGGGGGGAGATAGATAGAAGATAGATAGAGAGAGAGAGAGAGAGAGAGAGAGAGAGAGAGAGAGGGGGGGGGAGAAATAGAGATAGATAGAGAGAGAGAGAGAGAGAGAGAGAGAGAGAGAGAGGAGAGAGAGAGAGAGAGAGAGAGAGAGAGAGAGAGAGAGAGAGAGAGAGAGAGAGAGAGAGAGAGAGAGAGAGAGAGAGAGCAAATTGAAACGCGAAGGTAAAAAAATCTCATGATGTCAATAACAAGGGTTATGCTGGTAAAAAATATTTATGATTATGGTGACAATAGCAGTGAGTGTTTACAGAAGATATGATAATGATGGAAGGTCCTAATGATGGATGATATTCAAGCTTGAAATATCAATGTTTGTGATCATGGTAATCATGTTTGTGTTGTGTTCATATGTTAAGGTCTATGATAATGATGCGGCAGCAACAATAATAGCAAAAAATACTCACTGTTATTACGAGAAAAAATAATGGAATAATAACAATAACATCAGTAAGAAAAACGATAACAATGATAATAACAATATAGAAATGTTACAAAAAATAACTGATACAAATAATCTATCATTAAAGAAAATGAAAATAAACATAGCAGCAATTAAAGCATAAAATAAACAAAAGTAACTTAAATGACCGATACAAATGCACTTCCCTCCGCCCATTACACGCCCTTCTCCCGTCATTTATACACTCTTTTCACGCCCTTCTTCCGCCTTTTCTTCCCTCCCTCCCTCCTTCCGCCCTCCCGCTCTCCCTCCCTCCTTAAACCCTCCTCACGCCCTCCTTTCCTCCCTTCACGCCCTCTCCTCCTCGCTGCCTCCCTCCACGCCCGCCTTCCCTCTCTCTTTCTGCTTCTCCACGCCCTCTCTCCTCCTCTCCACGCCTCCCTCCGCCCCTCCCTCGTCCGCACCAACGAGAAGCCACACAAGAGCCGGGCGTGTGGGTGGCCAGCGGCTCTCCCGGCGCCACACCGCCTCGATACCCGCTCTCCGGGAACAACAGGACGCAGCACTGGTCGCCGACTTTCTTTTCCGAGTTCACACAGCGCTCCACGTGCCTCTGGCTCCTCTCGGAGAGCTATTCCGGGTACACCTGGGACGTGTCTTCTCCGTATCTACACACGTGTTATTGCGTTGTTATTTTCTGACTTTTGTCTGGGTTGGTCACTGGAGAGCACTAAGGAGTCACTTCGTCGGCGCCCTCTGCGTGGAGGGCTCTGAGAGGAGCGAGTTCCCTCCTGCGGGACGAGGGAGAGCACAGGGTGTGGGGCGAGGGCCGTTGCA